AAAAAGAAATTATAAATATAAACATTTTAAATATATATTTTTAAACGAAGAAATTGAGATACAATAAGGCAAAATATTTTGTCTCATATAACCCAATAAGGAAGTGTTGTTACTGTGCTTGGAAGTAGAATGAACTATTAAGTTCACTGATTCATCTCTCTAATGTACTGTAACACAATGTTAGTTAAGTGTATGGTGATTGTTAAGATTAGGGAGCTAATATGGAATACTGGTTAAAAAAATCACTTAGACTTTGAAGTGGGCTGACTTAAGGTCAAGTTCCACTCAGCTAATTAGCATCTCTGTATAAAACTGAGATGATAATAGAACTCATTTTAACCTGCCACATGGAATAAACTAGAGGCTTAATAAATAATAGCTGTTACTATGATTATATAATAAAGTATTAAAGCGAGATTATAAGATCATCCAGCATTTTCAGGAAAAATTATTCTCAATGCCTAGATTTATCAAAAAGCCAAGGCTATAACTTTCCATTAGACATCCACTTCAAACTAAAAATTTCTGTATAATTTTCCCATAATCAAGTCTTTGCATGTCATCATATTTTCATTTAATTAAGATTCTCAAGTTAATAACAGCAAGGACCACATGATTTTTAAAACACAGTTGTTCTCAGTTAGTTCTTCACTGACAAAAGGGAACTTCCTATAGAAAATACAAAAGATTGCCTATTAAATAAAATAGAAAATACAAAATATGGCCCATTAAAAAAGCTGGTGCTTTTTCTTTAAAATAAAGAGGAAATGGTGCACCACAGGCCCCAGATTGTTTCTCTGAAGAGAGAGGACATTATTTGTTGTATCTGTTTCCCCAGGAAACAACAAATATTGAATGGATCAATGCTTTTCAGAAATGAGACCCAAAAATGCAGAATAAGACTGCCAAATTGGCAAGAACAACTTTCCTATCTTTGTTTGAAGAGCATCAACCCAGAAGTTATTTTATTTCCAAGTATCCTTTCTCTTACTGCCAACAGAAATCTTTTGCACTATATAAGAACTGAAGTTTCTTGTCTCTTTACATCTTTATTTTCTGTCTTTCAACTGGCAAGAGTCATTTTGACCAGCAGGTTAATCAACTCTAAGACAGATCCTCACACAAAGGTATGTACCTGGAAATATTAACTGCAGAATTTTCCTCAGACTTTTCATGATCTTTTTATAGGACATTCATTACCACCAAAAACATTAGCACCTTCACCTTATGTAAAATTGTAAGTCATTAAACATATCAAATTTTGAAAAATTAGGTTATTCACATGTCAGAGTAAAGGATTCATGTTGGGCATTGGGGACAATTAGTCCATCCAAGTACACAATTGACTTTTCCCCTTGATGTTCCTTAAAGTTCTTAAAACTTCATAATGATAGATTATTCTCAGATGCATTTTAAAAGAGGGAATTTTTCTACAGTATATTTTTATTATTAGTTTTTCTTTTGTTTTTCAAACTTCTCGTAAGAATGGATCATGGGAAAAGTAATCCTTAAGAGAATAGCCACACCCACATACAATTGAATATCCAGTGAAATTTTGTCCACATGATTCTTTCAAAACTTGCATTGCTCAGATAACACACTCAACCTATGTGCAGAGTTGACTGTCAGGAAGCCATTTGTACAATGGTGCATGGAGTTGCTTTCCCAGAATTCAAGCTACCATGTACTTGAAATATTTTGCAAATTTTGAGCCAACGGAGAATAAAATACCTGGATTCCTCCATGTTCTCTGACTTGGTCTTTGATCTACCATATATGGATTTTTGGAAGCACTTTGAGACCACACATCACAAACTAAATTAATTTAGTGGAATGTTGTTAAAACTAGGAGGTATATAATATGATTCTCTTTTTCTTACACTACGTCAAACAGAGTGATTTCTTTCTTTTCCTTATTTTTGAGATACCCCAAGGAATTAAATTGATAACACATGATTTAGTTAATATGTTAATATTGCAAACCCAAGTCTATAGAAATCTATAAAACAATATACTTGCTATTTAAATATACCAAAGTGTTCAAATGTAAATAATTGTACATTTCAAAGTAGTTACCTCTAAAGGCAAAAACCTCATTGATAAAAGCTTCTATTCTTCAAATTATTTATGAATAACTCTTTGGCATTATCTCCAATATCAGCTTACAAGTCAAAAATAAAAACTAGTTCCACTGTTTTGAAGTCAAATTTTATAAGCCTACTAATGTTGCCCCACTGTAATAATGAATCCAACATAATGTTAGGCAAATTCCTAAAAATGCTACAGTAGTATATCTGTATTACATTATATCCATGTGTTGAGACATTTTAAATAGTAATTTGTAATAAAAAAAAATCATACTGATCACCTATTGTGCTTACTTTCAGAGGCAACCGAAAGGATGAAATCACTGACTCTAATCTTGGGCCTTTGGGCTCTTGCAGCGTGTTTCACAGTAAGTATCATTAATCACGATCACACATCTTTATACTTTCCTCCTTAACCATTACTTCAGATTTCTTTTTACATTAATTATGTTACCTTTTCTTATATATTAGTAACTATTAAGCATTGATGAAACACTGTTCTAGTGCTGAAATCTAAATTTAAAATCTAATTTAATTTAAATAGCCGCATATGTCTGATGGCTGCCATAATGGATAGCTCAAATCTATAATATCAGACTGCATTAAACAGATAAATATAAATGTATGTTTCCATACTCTAGCAATTACACAGTAGGTAAAACTCTGTAAAATGAGATAAAGTAGTTTTTCCTACCATGGAGTCACCTAACTCACTTATTAAAAAGTATTAAAGTCCTCATCCAAGCCTGAATAAGAGTACCCCATAATGGGACCTGGGAAGATGCATTTAGGAGAATCTTTGCATGCTACATTTTGAGGAAATAATAAACATTTATAGCAACACCTACCATTTATTAAAAACTAGGTTAAGGAAAACTATGCTCATTGCCCTTAACCTCGTGTTTCAGAATTTTTTAATGCATATTTTTAAAAGTAATAGAATGATACTCAGTTTCAACAGAGGGGTCAATTAATTCCAGTGTTACAAAGAGGATATTAATTCCAGAGTAACTTCTCCCAAAGTACCATAAAAATCTATTATATCAAATGGGAAAATATGAAAGCTGATTTTTTAGAAGACTATGACTTCCACAAAGCAGGCAACATAAAATTATATCATTCTCAAACATGAAACATAAAATAGTCCCTCTTTCTTCTACTTTCAAAAGCTTGAATAAAAGCAGGACATTCTGAGATGACTGAAGTTTTCTGACTTTGGCCATGTTCCTGCATGCATTATGGCTAGACATAATTTTTGATAAGCCAATAAAACGTATTGACATCCACTAAAGGTCATGTCTTAATGACTTCATCATAAATTTGATTTTCAATATTTTCATGTCCTCAGAATATGAGAAAAACATTTTATTCAGGCTTTTATTATACAAATAACTTTTTAATAAGATAAATTAGAAAAATAGAGAGCTTTCCAATAATATAAGCAGTTTAAATAGCAATGAGCCTTTTTTCAGCTGATATGACTAATGATGATTAATAATTACTGAAAATTGGAAATGTGAAGGGTAGCATGTCCTTTGCATATATATATTTGTAGGCGGGGTAAGTCATCATATTCAGCCTGTCGACTTTTGAGTGTTTTCTCTGTTATAAGTAATTTTCCAAATGCATTACATACATTATCTCTTTTAATCCTCAAAGCAAGTCTCACTATTTTTAATCTCATTAAAATACAAATAAGTTTAGATTCAAAGTATGCAAAGTATGCTTGTCTTAGCTGGATTATTGCTAAACTGAATAATGTAGGAGATTAACATTCATTATAACCCTTTGGGAGGGGAGTGTTTCTTCCTAGTATAGTATTTTCATCATTTTCATCATTTTACTTTAGCCATTTGTGGAAAGGGAGCTAATCATTGTGATTGGGTTAAGAGATCAGGAAAAGAATCGATATTTACTATGAAGATTTTTCATCACATAATATTTAGATCAACATCAGTATATCTTTAGGAAAGAGTCCTTTCAGCTAATTTTTAATTGTCTCAACAATAAAAATGTGTGAAATATTTTCCATACTAAGGATTTGTTTTCTTGACAATAAAAAATCAAATCCTGAACTTCCACATACCCTGACTAGTCCTTGGATTGGCAGTCCTTGGGTCAAACACCCTCCATAATACCATGAACTATCACTAGCTAGAGAAGACGAACACGAGGCTGGTCCCACAGAAGTGCCTTGGAATTTTTTGTTTGTTTGTTTCATTGGTGATATGAATAAAACTTTTACTGGCATGTTAAGGGCAGAAGCCAGGTTGAAGAGCAAATGAGAAGTGAGAAGTGGGGTTGGCAAATTTAGAATACCCTTTCATAGAGCTTTGCTTTGCAGGAAAGACGTGAAAAGAAAGTCACAGCAACAAGGTACTGGTGGTTGAAACTGAATCTTTTATAAACGGAGAAATATCAATTGATATTTATTTCTCAAATGACGTCTTCAACCTCTCTGTACATGTTAGGTGAAAGGGGCAAGATTAGAATCAAGAGGTCAAATCAACGGGCCATTATAGAAATTTGGGTAAAAGTAAATGACAGATTAGAATGAAAGCAAGAAAGATGATAAGAAGTGGTTAGATTTAGAATTCAGGAAGTGGGATGAAGAGCTGATAGGATAGGGAGAAAAAAATTGAGTTGACCATAAATGATAGTGTTCTTCTGAAGAAAATGAGCTAGCTAAATGGCAGATATCACAGTTGCAGAAAGTAAAAGAGAAGACTGACAGAGCCAGGTCCCTTGGAAAACAATTATAAAGAAAAAGAAACTATCTAGCTATCAATGACTCCATGGTTCTGTGACCAGTAAATCAGGGAAGTTCATTTCTAATTGCCTGAAATATCTTGGTGAAGCAGGAGAAAAGCCACTTTGGTGGGGGTAGATGAGAGCTCAGGATGAGGTGGAGAATGTTGATAAAACTGGCATCAACTTGGAAAATTACAGGCCTCTGGGGAAGTGGGAAGGGATAATCTGAGATAAGACACTCAAAAAAGGATTTCAGGCAGCACTGAAAGATGCTAACTTTCTGAGGGTACAGTGCTGGTGACATCCTCTAGCATTGTTAAGAACCTGGCATTAGGAATCCAGGACAGGGATGCTTTACTGTAATACTAAAGTTTAGGATTAGCAAGGGTAATGGCCAAATAGGTGAAGGGACTGAGAACCACAGGAAGTGAATGTAGTTTTGTGTCCAAAAAAACCATCTGCTCCAAGCAACCTGGACTTCTTGCCGTCAGTAGAGTGGAACTTCATTCCTACCCCAGAGCATTTGCGTATTTTCCTTCTATTTGGCATGCTCCCTCCTTACTTTATATTCTTTAACCCTCTTTTCAAATGACTCCTTCCCACAGAGACAATCCTTTATCGTTTTCCTATCCAGAACTGATCACTTTAAATCCCTAATGTATTTGTTCCTTGCACTACTTTTCAGTTATTTTTGAATTTTTTAAAGGAGATGGGGTCTTGTCCAGGTTGGTCTTGAACTGCTGGCCTAAAGCTATCCACCTACCTCAGTCTCCCAAAGTGCTGGGATTACAGGCATGAGCCACCACGCCCAGCCTCAGCTATTTTCATTTCTAAAAATTGTACTCTATGTAAACCAGACCTGAGATAAACACCACCCTAGGCACTTTACAAGTGATATTTCACAACAAATGTGACAACAACTGCAGGAGGTGAGTACTTTTATGAACATCATTTTCCTGATGAGAAAAAAAGACTCAAAAAGAATTCCACACTCACTCTATCTCCATGTGCCAGAAGGAGAGCCCAAACACTGACATGAAACCCCAGACACTCATTCCACTCATTTCACTTCCCTTCAGATCACATTTACCCCTCCTTGTATTGTAATTACTCAGCCTGTAGAGTCATAGAATAGATGTTTGTACCCCTGGCAACTTGCCAGGTTGACATTCATGACATGAATGAACCAGCGCCTTCATAAGCTCATTGCACGAAATAGTTGCTCACATGTGTTTCACAATTAATTAATGTGCAAAGCCCGGAACAAGCCTGAACCCTTGAATTAGACATAAAAGACATGTTTTTCTCATGCTGCAAAGGCATTTATTTCCATTTGGAATTTGGAATGACAGACTTCACTATAGGCCAAGGATAAGATTTTTGTTCATTATCTATTTTTTTAAGTCAATACTATCCCAGCTTTCATTGAGAGCCTAGGTATTCAGAGGGCAAAAGAGAAACATTTTTCTTTGATATAGACGTTCAGACATCATAACTTAGATACATTTAACACTTTTCTATTGCTCAATAACAAATTACCACTAATTAGTAGCCTTTAAAAACTCATTATTATCTCAGTTTCTTTGGCCATAACTCTGAGCTTGGCTTAGGTGGCTTCTCTGCTCACAGTCTCACAAGGCTGAAAAGGTGTGTCCACTGCTGTATTTTTTTTTTCTTCTGCAGCTCAGTGTCCTTTTTTTAAGCTTGTATGGTCATTGGTAGGATTCAGTCCCTTGGTTGTTGGACTGACGCCCCTACTTTTTTGCTGCCTATGAGCCCGGGGCCACTCTCAGCTCCTGTAGCCAGTCTACCATGTACTTCCACGTAGCCCTCCCCACAACATGGCATCTTGATTCAAAGCCCAGAGAAAAGCATTTGCTGCAGCTTCAAATCTCTCTGATTTCTTCAGACATTGCAGAACCTGTTTTAAAAGGGCTCATCTGATAAGGTCAGGCCAGTATGTGCCAGCAGAGAGTAGAAATCTTGGGGCCATCTCAGAGTTCTGCCTATCATAGAAAGCATTCATTCTTATATTTAACTGCGAAATATCTGATTTAAAAGTATTTACTACTTTTTTCCACAGCCTGGTGAGAGTCAAAGAGGCCTCGGGGGACCATATCCACCTGAACCACTGTCTCCTTCTCCTCCTCCATCACCTTTTCCGTTTGGACCAGGATTTGTTCCACCACCCCATCCTCCACCCTATGGTCCATGGAGAATTCCACCACCCCCTCCTCTACTCTATGGTCCAGGGAGAATTCCACCACCTCCTTCTCTACCCTATGGTCCAGGGAGATTTCCACCATCTCCTCCTCTACCCTATGGCCCAGGGAGATTTCCACCACGCCTTTCTCCACCCTATGGTCCAGGGAGAATTCAACCACTCTCTCTTCCTTCCCCTTATGGCCCAGGTTATCCACAGCCACCTTCCCAACCAAGACCCTATCCACCTGGACCTCCATTTTCCCCTGTAATTTCTCCAACTGATCCTGACCTCCCTAATCCTGCACCCTAAATACAGACAACTGCCACAGGTGCCACCACCACTGCAAAAGACACCACTACCCTCATAACCACTGCTTCTACTCTCCAAAAATAAGAATTTCAACACTACTTCCAAGAGACTTTTAGATAAAATGGCTTTCATTTTTGAATGAGAATAAACATTTCCAAAGCATTGTGTTTTGGGAGAAATATCTTAGAAATTGTGAAACAATCCCCATGAACCTTTATATCAGTAGGGAAAAATAAAGAATTGAGCAACAATATGAAGTATCCACTGTTATCAGAGCCACTAGTTTATCCCCCATTTATGTCACCTAAATGAATATTAGTGCTACCAGAGCCTGGCCATGTCCCATGAGGCCAAAAAAGTAAATTAAGGAAAAATGCAATAAGACACTTGGACTTGAAGCTTAGAGTTACGAAGTTAGAAGAGTAGGCAACAGGATGCCCTCTTCAGTATGGCAACCCATCATACAATTACAAAGCCCAAAATAAGATGTTAATAGATACTAAAATGAAAGAATCTTAGACGTCACCATAGCTCGCCCTATAAAAATTCCTGAGTACCATCTGATCACTGCTTATAAATAGTTGCAGAGAAGAAACGCCATTCTAGCAAATCTAAATATCTGAGATGTAAATCACAAGTCTTGGAATCTGATATGAAAAAATTATTTTCTAAGCTAAGATAGAGATAGGAGATGGTTTCAGATAGCAATAAGAAGAAGCTAATCACTGAGATTTCCAAGTTTCTACTGCATCTATTTGTTGATATTTGAATCAGAAGTATTATGATATGACTATTTAGGAAATGGCCTCATAATGTCATGAGAGTTTTATCTTTCCATGTTTGACTTTTTCCTTCAGGACACTTAACTTCCCACAGTGCCATCAAACACTTATAAATTAAAACTTCTCAAGACACCTAAAGTAAGCCCACAATTTTTATTTGTGTTTAATGCTTTCCTTTTTTTTTTTTTTCTTTCCATGGAAAGGGTCTCACTCCCATCACCTAGGCTGAAGTACAGTGATGCAATCACAACTCACTGTAGCCATGACTTCCTGAGCTCAGGAAATTCCACCTTAGCTTCCTAACTGGGACTACAGATGCACATCACCACTCCTGGTTAATTCTTTTGTAATTTTAGCAGAGATGGGGTTTTACTACATTTCCAGGCTTCTCTTTCACTTTTGAGAACCTACCAGGATACAGGGACTGTTTTAGTAGCACAATAACAGCAATATTGAAGGTAGTCAAAGTAACTGTCTTCATGGAGCTTATATCTAGTGAGATATTTTTTAAAAACTAAACACATGTCAATAAAATGTAAGACGTGAGAGTGTTTTGAAAAGTAATGAACAATGCATAGGAAGACACTAAGTAGTGGTGACTGACCGTTTTATATAAGATAATAATGGAGAAACTCTCTGATGAAGTGATATTTGAGGAATGACTTGAAGAATATTAAAAAGCAAGGTACTAAATGATCTAGAGAAAAAGTGTTCAAGGCAACCATGTAAAGATCTAAAGCAGCAATAAATTTTGTGTACAAGAAGAGTCAACAAAAGTTAATGTGGTTCACACTCAAAAAAGAGGAGAGTGGAAGGAGATGATATGAAGAAGGCAGAGAAAAAACACATCATAAAGGGATTTGGATTTTGAACTTTATTCTACATGTTATGGGAAGTCATTATAGCTTTAAAGGAAGAAATAACATTATGTGATTAACATATTCAAAACTTCATCACTCTGGCTGCTCTATGGATAAAAAACTGTTAGAAGAGCAAGACTGCTTAATACCTAGGTGATATGTTGATAGATGCAGCAAACAACATGGCACACATTTACTTACGTAACAAATCTGCACATCCTTCACATGTATCCCGGAACTTCAAATAAAATAAAAAGAGCAAGAGTGGTGGCTATTTCAGGAGTCCTGATGAGAGAAGAGGTGGCTTAGACTAGGGAAAGATCAACAGAGATGAAGCAAAGTAGTCAGTCGCAGTATACAGCTGAAAAAATATCCAGAAATCTTTGATGAAATACAGAATCTTGGGTTTTAGGAAAAATACATAATCTAGAAATAACTCTGATAATTTTGGCCTAAACAACTGTGTCAATAATGGTGTCATTTAGTAAGTTAAAAAATGGGAAAAGATCAGGGTATAAAGATTTCGAATATCATAAATTCTGCATTGGCCATGTTAAGGTTGAGTTATCCATTTAACTTCTGTATTATTGTATTGCTGTCATACCATGTTATCACCAACTTAGAAGCACAAAATAACAAATTATCTCACTAATCTATAGAAAGAAGTTTTTCTAATAGTATAGCTCAAAGAGTTCCTCTGCTTAGAGTCTGGCAAGGCTACAATCAAGGTATTAATAGGGCTGCATGCCTTTTTGCAGACTCTAGGGAAAAATCTGTTTTGAGGCTCATTTATCTCTCCTATGTATGTCTTCTTCCTGACTCTTGTTTGGTCGCATCTCTCTGAATCTAGCCAGAAAAAAAAAATCATCTGTTTTTAAGATAAATTTCCTTTCCTTGATTATTCAATAAAAGACAGACTAGAGTAGATATGAAGTTTAATGCTTTGTTGTAAAAATTGGGGGCAATTCAATTGCTGGTAATGACAATGTCTAAGGTATTACTATGAAAAAGGCTGGGATAAAATAAAACAATGCTGGCTTTTCAAATCCAAATGTTGGGAGTAAGCAAGTCAAGGAATTAGGAGGCTGTGGGTTGGATGAATCATTTACAGGGATGTTGAAGTCACCAAATGTGATGAATAAAGGGAGAAGACAGTGACCAAAGTGGTAAAGTCTTAAAAACATCAAGTAGTGACCGAGCAGGAAGAAATTACTTCAATACAGAAGAGTAATGGGGAGGCATAGCTTTTTTGAAGGTCTTCAAAGTTGGAATGATGGAAAAGAGATGAGGTTTAGAAATAGCAATGAAGGCAAGGTCATCTACCTGACCTTGGTGTTGCTACGTCCATATTATTTGTAACTGGAAGTGATGGGTGACATCACAGTAGACTATAACTCTCAAAAGGCTCTCGTTATGACATAAATATTACAAAGCAGTGCTATCAGTAAATGAAATAAGGAGTACCTAAACAGAAACAAGTTGCTATGAATTACTCAGCAAGATCCTGTGCACTTAGCTGATATGTGGTAATGGGGTGAGAAGAATGGGTATGTGTGATTCTTCTTAATATTGCTATTTCACCCTGATTCAAGGTGTAATTGTATTTTTATTTGCAACATATCTGAGCCTCTAATTTGCATATTTATAAATATAAGTGACCTATGCTTTTGCTCCCAAGCCCTGTGGAACAGAGTATGGAGAAAACCCAACCACACCTCCACCAAGTACTCTAGTGTACACATTGTGTACTTGAGATACAGACAAGGTTTGAGTTTTGCAATATATTACTGCAAACACACAGAAAAGAAACTGAGAATATAGAGGCTCCTGCTGATTAATTTTCATGAGTTTGAGAGGGCAGAGTTGATGTTTGTAGATGGGAGAAGAGATAATACAGCCCTCTGAGGATGACAGTCTGAATATAGCTGGATGATCTTAGAGACATGAAATCTTAGAGGAAGAAGATGAAGAAGTGTAAAACACAAGATTAGTACTGATGACCTCTTAGAGAAAAGTGGGTAATACATTTTAATTACATCTTCTTTCTTGGGATCATTCAGGATGAGAGGGTCTTAACAAAAGCACCCAGAGCTCAAAAACCCTCTATTTCAATGTTTCCTTAATTTGTTTAACATTATTTACTGACCTCCATGTGCCATGAACCGTGATAGTTACCCAAAATAAATAAGTAATCTAAATTAAATTCTTTGCCATCCTGGAGCTTAAAGAATATCAAGGGGGAGAAGGTTGTGTTTTTTCCATCAACCCTGTGAAAAACCTGTATCTATTCAAGTTTACCTTGATATTATTTGACTGGCAAAAGCTGAAATTACCTATATTTTTGCTTTAACAGTTTTGGTGACTGCAGAGGAAGAAATATGTGATTATCCTTCCATCTTTAGACAAACCCACTTCTCAAAGGTGTCCTGAAATTCATGAAAAATGTACATAATTAAAACTAGAATATCACCAAAAAGAGGATACAAGGAACACCAATCTATAACCAGCTGGAAAAAAAAACATTATTTTTGAAATAATGCATAATTCTAAGTGTCTACCTTTCCCTTGGAATGCATCACAAGTTTCACATAGGTCATGTGTAAATATCACAACAATGAGAGCTGAATCCCTTTAAAATAAGGCAAGTGCATGCCTGCAGCACTTTCAACTTCTGACTAACATGAGAGATCAGGAAACAAGGAGTAGTTATAAAAGGTCAGTAGATAGCAGGTTTATTGGAAGAGGTGAATTACTAAAGTTAGCAAAAAAAAAAATACAAATAGGGTAGCAGAGGGTTTAATGTTTGAAACTGAGAGTTTGGAGACCATGCAGAACCATTATCTGGAATTTGTTTCTCTCCCAAATGTTCTCTCTAGGTACTATACTTATGTTTGGATCTTTATTTTTTTATTTAAATATGCACATACATACACATCTATAACCACCACCTCACCTCATTACTTGCAGCCATTTTAACTATGAAAGGTAGTATTTCTCCCATCTTGTTGTAGGCACATATACTGCCCCAAATTTTCCCCTTACAAGAAAGCTCCATCAAAAGTCACCTCATCTTACAGTGTTGGGCAAACACAGTTCCTGCACCAACATCTTTCTGCTGCTTTTCCGAGTCCCTTTGTAAAACTGCAAAACAATTTTTTCAAGTCCATTTTAATCCCTCATTCCCTGTGTATGCACTATCAACTAAATATCAGAACTTTACGGTCAATTTTGCATATAAAGTTAAATACACAAAATCACTACCCTCAAATTGTTCATTACTTCTTTCTGGTCTGGCAGCCTGTCTAGACACACTACATATTTCTGCCATTTACTGCAGTATCCTCTTTTATCCATTCCATCTCCTCTACACCATGAGCAATCCAAGAGCAAAAGTATAGATCACTTGTTTTTATATATATGCAAATTAGAGACTCAGATATTTTGCAAATAAAAATGAA